AGTTAAAGAGGTAAATTTTAGTAGTGAAAGTAATTTTTTTCGTTCTAAAATCTGTAATTTTATTGGCAAAGTTAACTTAGACTGCTTAAAATGGGCAAGTGGACGTTATATGCCCAATACTTTTCAATAGTTAGTAGTTGCATCAAAAAGAACTATCTGATTTGTGAATACACAGGAAAAGAAGTACACATGCAATCTATAAGTAACAACATAACTTTGTTAGAACAAGAGCTGATTCACCCTAGCTTGCATAGAAATGGAGGATAACTGGATTTGTTGATAGTCCCACAATAAAATAGGTATTCTTCACATCTCTACTGAATTTCACTCTGCGCGGACTGAATTTTCGACCTCGTCATGGGTTCCAGGGCAGCTATCAATTTTAAGGATAGCCAAGAGACCACATTTTGTAGTAGGATTGTAGATAATGCAAACTTGTATTTGATATTACAATCGACTACATTACTTACATTCAATTTCAGTAGGTTTCGAATATGCTGATTTCCTACGTGACGTGAAGGGTGTCGTGGAAAATTCCTGGCTAAAGAAAATGTGAAATTTATTGCAGAGTATCTTAGGAGGTTGAACCCGCAACCAAAAAACTAAAGATAATAAAGGAGATGGCACCATAGAAAGGTAAATTTTGAAATGAGAATGCCTGAGATTTTGGCTTTATAAAGAAGACAAACTTATTCAAATTCGTTGGCGTCGATAAGTGATGAAGTAAAGTAATAAACTTCTTCCCTGTCAAGACCAGAAAATTTATGCAGGCGTAGGTCAAGTATGCATTTGCAGCTATTGTCAACATAACTTATTCTTAAATAGGGATGACAAGTGATATAAAGAAATGAGTGAACATTTTAACAAAAAATAGTGAATAGTTTTGCTGGTGAAATCTAAAAAAAAATTTTTTGAATCCGCATAAAATAGGGCTTTAACCAGGCCTGCTCTTGCTTAGTAATGCAAATTATAGAACAGGAATTTTGAGCTTATACCAAACTCTGAAATCGACATGATCCTAAGCATTCATTAAAAATGGAAAAAAACACTTCCAATGATGTCAGTTTTATTAGAAGGCAATAGTGACTAGCATAACTCGGCTAAGAGCTTGTAAGGCAGCACAGCTGAGACATAAAGCATATAACCAGTGTACTCTGCGAAAATATTTTTCCATAAGCAAAATATAACACCCAGATGGAAAGGCAGAAACTTTATGAAAGAATTCAGGATAAACAAGGAATTAGTTGAGGAGTTATATAATCTGCTAACAGTCTCTCGGATCAAATTGTTGACTAATACAATCCGGTAAAAGTTGTCGGCACTTTCCGCTCTTTATAAATCATCTAAGTGAGGCTGCAGAGCAATATAAAACTATAAGATTATAAAAGTAGTCATATAATATTAGCAAGGGATGCAGATATGATAATTTATTACCTGACAGCGGGTTAACAAAGTCAGTCCTTGAGCAGGCAGCGGAGGTTATAGAAAAAAGCTGACTAGAGCTGGTCGGGGGACCAAGTGATGCGGTCCTATTGTCCCCCAATATTTCACAGAGTTTCAAATTGGCCGGACTTTGTTCAAATCTGGATTGAGTTTGGCTAGGACGAAGGCTGCCATTTGATACACTCACAGTAAGGTCGTCTGGCAACAGTAGTGGCATTTGTATATCAGCCGAAACCGGAGGGAAGGTTGACGTGCTACTACTACTAGTGCCAGCTTCTGGATGCGTCTGTTGGCGGAGCCAGCTTGGCTTGCCTGATGAATGATATCCAATTTCTGGGTCGACAGAGCATGCCATACTTAGATTCCAAGTACCCGTCACTGGTTGACTACACTCAGGACATAGGCCTGCAGGACAAAGTAGGCGGCAATATTCTGAAAGACCAGGACCGAAGGAGGAGTTATCTATTTCTACCGCATTTTGGTTTTCAACTTCTTCATGATCTATTTCTTGATCTCTTTCTTCTTCCTCAGAACCAACTTTTTGGGTGCCACTTCCTTCACTTTCATCGTCCTCGTATAATTCCGTCTCTTCCTCTTCATATGGCTCGTGGGACTCATTCCCTCTTTTTTCAAATGATTTAGACTTTCCAGTACTTTGAGCAGCTTTCCTCTCCAAGAGATTTGAATTAATCGAATT